AGGTCGCCTGCGAGACCATCCTCACCCATCGTGCAGTCTCGCCGGTGCAATCTGGCCTTTCTCGGGCGGGCTCAAAAATCCGCCCGAAACGGCAATGTGGGTGCGCCCAAGCCATCAACCGTCTCTAGCTCGAGCCAAGCGTGCGATGCGACGTAGCAGCACACGAGCAAGGACGGTTCGTTCATCATGGTTAGACCTACCAGTGGGCGCAAGCGGGTGGCGGCGAGCGCGTCGGCAACGGGCGACGAAGCGGCGGCGGTGACATGCGGACGCGCGTGTCTGTTGCAGGGTACGACGATATCGAGTCGTGATCTGTATTTAGAGGATGCAGCGGCGTCATTTAGGCGTCCCACCAGCACCATTCGTGGTACGGCATGGCCTCGATGGCGGCTTCGCAGGTCGCGATCTCAATCGGGTCTTCAACCGTGCAGCGGAGGTCAATGTGGCCAAAGCGATGCGCGCTCGCAGCGACCACGTCGATGACCGATAGAACGCCTTCCTCTCCGAGCGGGTTGAAGTCGAGGAGGAGCCACGTCATGAGCGCCGTGCTAGCGTTCTGCGCCATGGCCTGCACGAGCGCGACAGCACCATCAGGCCCGACCTCGTTGCTGCTCAGACAGAGGTCGTCGAGGCACGCGATCGCGGCGCTGAGTGCCATCGCGCCAGGGCACTGGATGCAGTTTTCTGACAAGTCGAGCTCGCGCAGCTCGGGGCAAAGCGGCAATAGCCGTGCGAGGGCCATCGCGGATGTGTCGGTACAGCCTTGCTTGGAGAGGCGCAGCTTCTGGAGCTTCTTGCAGCGCGGCAGCGCCGAGACGAGGACAAGCACGCCCATGTCGAGGAGGACGTTGTCTTTGAGCACGATTTCGACAAGGCGCGGCAGGATGATGGCCAGCGCGTTGCTGCCGACGGGCGAGATCGGAATGCGGTCGAGGCGCAGCTTGGTGAGGCGCGACATGCCCGGCAGCGTCACCTCGAGCAGCGTCGCAATGGCCGGCGTTGACGTCAAGGGCGGCGCCGGCGCGAAGCCGAGCTGGAGCGTCGTCAATTGGCTCTTGTCGAGCGCCGCCAAAAGCGTCGGGAGGTCCACGTACCGGCACGGCTTGAGCGTGAGCGATTGCAGCGTCGGCGGGAGGCGGAACGGCGCGCTGAGCAGCTCGAGCACGACGTTGGCCTGCGAGACGTACAGCGACCGCAAGGTGCGCGAGGCCCAGAGCGCGGCGCGCAGCAGCGGCAGGCTGCCCACGTGCATGCTGGTTTTGGGCAAGACCAGCGACACGAGCGGCTTGGTCGTGAGCCAATGGGCAAGCGTCACGACCATGGCCTGGTCCCACTCGACATGGCAGTCGCGAAAGTCGACCTTGGTGATCGGCGATGTCGTCATGGCGTAGAGCACGCGCGGAAAGCGGAGCGGCATCGACGCGCCAAACCACGAGAGCTCGAGCTGGCGCAGCGCGGGCAGCGACTGCAGCGCGCGCAGGATCACGTCGATGGTTGCGTCCATGGTCATGCCCCGGTGCGGCTGCCCATTGTCGGAAATGAGCAGCAGGATCGAAATCGCCCGGTCCTTCCAGTGACGCAAGACGAGCTCGAGCTCGTGCGGGTAGATCGGGTAGTCGAACGCAAGCTTGGTGGTCGGTAGCAGCGGGTACGGCAGCGGCACGGCCACGTGCTGCACCTCGACGACCGGGTAGAGCACCATGACCTTTTCAATCCAAACGGCAATCTCGGCCTCGGCAATGTATCGCGGCAACACCAAGTTGGGCCAGAGGTGCACGCGCCGCGGGTACGTCGGGTCCGACTTGGGAAAGTAGAGGCGGCTCTGGGCGACGGCGCGGTGGAGCTGGTACAAGCTCTCGAGCGCTGGTGTGCGCAGGCTCGCTGGCAGCGCGGTGAGGAACGAGGCCATGTCCAGCGACGAGGGCAGGAAGAGTGCAATGTGCTGGAAGAGCTCGGGCAGCACGCGGGTGCGGTGGCATGAGGCCATGACAGCGGCAGGGGCGATGTCGGTGCGCTGACGGTTGCTCGTCATCTGGGACGTATGCTGACCAGTTGACCAATGCGCGACCTTCATCCAAGATCGGCGGGTCACATAGCTGTCACGACAATGATGACGTTATTTCTGACTCGACCGCCACAGGATTGCGGGGTCGGGCGCATGTGATCCCGCAACCCGATCGCGTGATGCTTCGATCGACTTCGAGAAGGTCGTTCCGATGCCACGCCACGACGATGTGTTCGACGCTAGTGCTCAATTACAGTCTTCAACTAGATCAAGGGAACTCACTACGTCGTCCTGTGCCACCGCCGCCGGGATAGAAAACGACGCCGCAGCAAACGACTTTTTCCGTCGAGATTGAACGGGCAGTGTGGGCTGTACGCAAAAGAACTGCTCTGCATGGAAGGATTGCCAGTGATAAAAGATGGGGTCCGTGGCGTTGCGATATAGACATGGCTTTTGTAGGCCTTGCCGTCGTCGTGGCATGGGCACGCAGGAACCACAAAAAAGGAAGGGAGAAAGCACACGTATGCAACCTTGCTTGCATCACGTGACGTAGAGTGGGAGGAGGGGTAGGGTAGTTGGCAAGGACGTCGATGGAGCCATCGCGAGGCCTTTGGAATAATACAATGGCGGTGCTAGAAAACAACACGCAGGATGGTGCACCTCGGCCTTCTGCGGTGTAATCGTAGCCATACCTACCGGTAGTACCGTGACGCTCAAAAAGTGCATCGCAGCACAGGAATACTTCATACTTACGGAGGGATTTATTTTACGCTGCCTCGAATGTGCAGCGGCGTGGGCAATGATGTCAAAGCAACCCTAGATCTTCCGCGCACAATCGGCCGGGTTCTCGCCATCGTACTCGACGCGTCTTTTGAGGTTGATTTAGCATTTAGCGTCGATTATTGGCCCCTTAACGGCGACGCAGCACCAGCTCCAGAAGAATCACGAAAGTGCATCGATGCGTTGATTCTGGCAAGGTTGGCGGCGGCCGCGAGGTTCTACAGGCGCAAGGACATCCGAGGTCCATAGAGTCAATTCAACGCATCATGACAAGACAGCCAAACCACCCGATGATGCTCCACGACGTGCGACGGTCGTTGCAAAGGGTGGCGCAGTCGGATAACGCCCTTTCAATTTGAATGGATGCGGCAAAGCGATTCGCTGACCAGTCGAGTCCCACGAGCGTCTTGACCGCGTTGGATTGCGCGTCGGTCCTATGAAAATAGTTCAGGAAGAGGTGGTCGCTCATGCTGCGACGTCCACCGCGAAGGATATCAGCCGTATTGGAAGCGAAATGCCAGCACCTCACGTCGCTATGTGGGTGTTCTTTAGGTCGTTGTTGGGATCACGACGACGCCGACGGTGGTGTGAGGTGCTGTTGAAGCGGCTCCGTGACTTGTCGACCGCGTGATCGCGTCGCCAAGAGCGACGTCACAAAGCTTCTGCACTCAAAAGTCGAGCGAGGCAACCGACAGACCAACTCTGGTTGCACGGGACGCGTTCAAGTAGCCATGCAACGTGGTATCGACACCGGCATTATCCAATATTCGATAACAGAACCTTTGAAGAAAACCGCGGGGGCTTATGGACACGCGTGGTATAAAAAGCTAGTCGATATTATTATAGTAAATAAATTATTGTCGTGTAAATATCGGGTGAAATATGTCATCTAAAACCACATGGCGAGCTTGCAGCGCCACGAGCCCTTGGGTCGCAACTTGGCGCGGAGTTGGCGCATACTGAGGCGGCGCTTGGGGTTTACCGTCAACAAGCCGTCGAGCACAGTGACCAAGTCGGTTGAAAAAAGCGTCTCCATGTTCCAGAGCTTGAGGAGCGCCTTGACGCCTTGCCGCTCGACGATGCGGTACCCGCCGTCGGCGTCGGACGGCGCGCTGATCATGGGCACGCCGGTGACGAGCATGAAGAGAAGGATACCAAGACCCCACATGTCGGCGGCTGCGGGGTCATACGGCCGGCCGGCGTAGACTTCGGGTGCCATGTAAAAGGGCTTGCCGACAACCGCGTCGCTCATTTCGTGGGCGGGCGCCGCGAGACCAAAATCACAGAGTTTGCAGTCGCCATGTTCATCCAAGAGGATGTTTTCAAGCGAAATGTCGCGGTGGGCGAAACCACGTTGGTGCAAATGGTGCAGACCAGCGACCACTTGCTCAAAAACGCGCCGGGCGTCGCTCGTTGAAAGCGCTGGCCGTTGGAGTAAATAGTCGTACAAGTCACCGCCGCTGCAGTACTCCAAGACGAGGTGGACCATGTCGTGCTGGTAAAAGCAGTCGATCGTGTGTACCAAGTGGGGGTGCGGTGCGTCGTCTGCGAGCGCCTTTGCGACGCGGAGCTCGGCCGACGCTTCAAAGCACGGCTGCGTGTACTGCTTGACGGCGTAGGCGACGCCTGCGTTCGAGGCGCGGAAGACATGGCCAAACGTCGTATTGGTGACCAGCGACTCGAGCTGCAGCACCATTTGATGCGACGCTGCGAGGCAAATGAAAAGTGAGCTAGACAGGCCACCTCGTGCAGATGAGCGGATGACGAGGCGAGCTCTCAGATCTCAATTCGTGGCGCGAACGCTACAACTTCGTCGAAGCACGACGTGTGTACTTGGATACAGTATGCATGTTGCCCTTCTTGCTTCGAACTACGATGTGGACCATCCATTTCAACCAATCGAACGTGACTATGGCTTGATAGACACGGCGTGAGTCGGTCGGTCATCTACAACGCGATCGATACCACCACATCGTTTACGTACCTCCAATATGGGCCTCCAATATAATCCAGCCTGGACTAATAGAACTAGTATTACTTTTCGAAAGAAAGCTTGTACAGCGTATTGCCTTAGTCGTCCGTTCAGAAGTGTGGTGGCTTTCTAACTTGCCACGATCATATACATGTAGCTTGCAGTTGTTGGGTGGACTCGCACATGCATTCATTCGTCGCTGACTCGTGGTTTTGGCGATGTTGGCCAACTATATTTCTTGACGGCCATGATGTCGAGTAACCTAAATTCGCTGCATTGAAAGGCGGTGCGGGTGGTCATAGTTCACTTGGATATCCACAGCACCTTTAACAGTGTACTATTTGGATTGTGAACCTGCCATTCTTACGTGCCATTTGCGAGTGCAATCGGGACACGAATGAACAACAACTTGCTCGAAACAAATTTGCCGTCCGAAAGGCTGTGTTGTCGGTGGCGGTACGTGGCGCGTCCGCATTGGCAGAGTTGCATTACATACACCATCATACCATACCACAACCTGTCCTGTTTATGTGCGGTCGTGGACACGACGAGGTCCATCTCAGCGGTCTGTGGCACAAAATCTGATCATCGGCACTCGGCACAGTTCCATCCGACCGCGTCGATCGCACTTGTACTAACGTTAGGTAATCTACCGCGCGCGTTTCGCCGGTAGGGAAGACCAATGTGTTCAACGTCGCTCGACGATCGCAGCGACTCACGCCTGCATTTCTTTCGAGTCGGGATTGGTAACTACACGACCGAATGGTATCGGGCCCGCTTGCTCTGGCTCGTCTTGGCCCGGTCCATGACGGGCGTCGGAGCCGTGTACCGGCACCGACACACAAACTGCGTCGTGCCATGGTGGTGAAAGACCGTCGAGCAAATCGCGGGGGTGCCCCACGGCGGAAAATCCAGCGACTCTCTTGTCTTGGTATTGTAAAAGGTGCACTTGCCACTCGAATGTCGGCACGTCTCGATCCAATGCGGTGGCAACGCTGGTACGTTCGACTCTTTCGGAAAGCCGCGGCAGCGCGGGCAAAGCGACGCGACTTTTGGCTTTGGCCGCGCGTCGAGGAGCGCGTCCATGTCCCGATGCCTCGTGTTGCCATTATCCTTTTTGGACGCAAAGGTCGTCGACGGGTCAATCTGCAAAGTCGTCAGGACTTCGTCGACCGTCACGCCGCTGTCGATGTGATAATACGTCCGGAGGGGGAGGTAGACCTTGGGCATCACCGGGAGACTGGCAGCAAGCGCGTGGTTGCTGCTGCATCGGAGCAACGGTGGGCGGGAAATGTGTCGACTACGACCTGACGCACGCGGTCCTTGGGCCATTGTAGTGTGGTGTGACGTTGCTAGGACTATGTCCGCTTGCGTGATTGTTAAAAATACAAATCGTGTGGTCCATTGGGTCGGGCTACGGCCCGCCATTGCCCGTGCATAAACAGATAAGGTGAAACGATTCTCGAGAAGGGTCTTGGAACCATCCACCGACTCTATTACCTATCGTTTGCAAAGTTGGTGTTTAGGAGAGTGACGAACTCGGGGGCTTGCACGTATAAATCGATGGCCTGTGCGGAATCAAGATCCCGAGAGTTCATGCTGCTGATGAAATCCGCAGGTAGAGCTGGCCGGGAGAGGTCTTATTGGTGTACTGTAGGGCTAGGGGATACATCGAGCCAAAGACGTGATCAATCATGGTCGTACCATTCCATTATTACCATTCGGCGCTCGCAAAAGTGGAAACGGGCCTATCTGGGACGTCGTGCCAAGATAGAGGATGTGCTATATAAACCTGACCGCGAAGTCCAGGTATCCAAGCAGTCCAGCGCAGTAGAGAGATCGTGACTGCTGACGATCGTGCAAGATCTTTATGACGCGTCAACTGTTCCACGACCATTTCGTAGCGGAGTGTTCAGGATCTATTGAAGTTGCATGGACATTTGTATGGAGTGGCCTGCCGTCCACTCCGAGCATTACGCGGATAGTGATCGATACGCTCACTTGATTGTCTTCCTTGTCCCCAACACGCTTGATTTTACTGTGGACGCGCGGCCTCCTATTGTCTTGTTATCCGTTGGATCTCGCTAAGATGCCCTTGGTCGCCATCTTGCTCTCGCTCGCTCTCAATTAATTACAACGGAGGCATGGCTAGAACTCATGTGCCAGCTGCTTTGTTCCCAGTTTGAGACTCACGACCGACAACACCCATGGAAGCGCTTGGCATTCTCGTAGCTCCGAACCTGCCGCGCAACGCTCGCTGCGATTACGCACTGAGTCGCCTGCGTGACCGGTTGCTCCTCTGGCGACACAAGTTGACGACCTTGGCCGGCAAGGCCATCATATTGCAAGCGGTCTGCCTCCCGGTCCTCTGGTACCAGCTCGCGTGGGTCGCACCGGACACCACGACGGCTGCAATCATCGACAAAATGATCCTCCAGTTCATCAACGGCGAGCCGCCGGTCATTGGCGCGGGTGCGCAAGGCCACCGGCTCCTCCATCAAAGTATCGTCTTCGCG